ATTTTAAGTGCAATTAACATGTCAGGAACTTGGAAATAATGACAAGCTGTCCCTACAGCTGTCACTTCCTGTCATGTGAGGCCTGCAGCGAGATTGTATGACTTGCAATAAAGCTACCCAGCACCGAGTGGGAGTGGTGCGTGCACAGTAAGCTGCGTGTAATTGACACTGTGCTGCGTGATCGATCCATGCACTGTCTGAGGTGCGGGCCCCGGCAGGCGGGTGGGCGGGCATGTTGACTGAAACTGGATCGTTCCTTTCACTGGCAGGTTTCCTGTCAGACACGCTGCCTTCCCCGACCCCCTCCCCAAACTCCCGAATTTCATGCTGATGCAGTTACATGGGCTTCCAAGGGAGCCCGTGACAGTAAAGGCAGTTGGGGCCCCTGAGAGGCTGGAGCTCTCCCATCGTCAGGGATCGTGCCCTGACCTGCCTTCTCTTCAGAAGGTGAAGGACTGCAGAAGGGCACAGCACCTTGGGGCCAGGATGGCAGCTCGTTCTGTGTATCAGGGCATTCTGGCGCCTGCAGGAAGTGCCGCAGAGACAGAGGGAAGGAGGCAGAAACACGTGGAGCTACGGCTGGGCAGCAGTCTGTCAGTCACTGGAGCGCAGGCTCCACACCTGAAAGCATTGAGCAATTGATGAGCTAGCCTTGCATGTTTCTTTATCCAGAATAGTAACAATGTCGACCTTCGGTCCTCCATTTTCTAAGACAATGCCCCATGATAAAATGATATGGTGTCCAATCAGAAATGATGCATGCACCCCTATGTTCATAGCAGTGCAATTTACAATGGTTAAGATCTGGAAACAGCCAAGTGCCCGTCAGTAGCAAAAAAGTGGATAAAAAGCTGAGGTTGCTCTGGCTGGGGGCTCAGTGACTAGAACATCAGCCAAGAACCAAAGGGTCCGGGTGTGATTCTGGTCAAGGGCACATACCTAGGCTGCAGGTTCCCCACTCCCGTCGGGGTGCCTGTGGGAGGGAGGCAACTGATAGATGTGGCTCTCTCACGTCAACGTTTCTCTCTTCTCTCCTTCTCCCCGTCCCTTTCACTCTCTCGAAAAACAATGGAAGAAAGAGCCTCCAGCAAGAATTAACAACAAAAAAGCTGCGGTACATAATACCATGGAATACCACGCAGCAGTAAAAAAACAACAATCTCTTACCCTTGAAGCAGCATGGAGGGACCTGGAGAGTATTGTGCTAAGTGAAATAAGCCAGTCAGAGAAAGACAAGTATCATATGATCTCACTCATATGTGGAATCTAATGAACAAAATAAACTCACAAACAAAATAGATCCAGAGATTTGGAAGCAGGGAACAGACTGAAGATTCTCAGAGGAAAAGGCAGACTGTCATATTTCAGAGGGAAGGGGTTGGAGGTAGGGAGAAAGAAAAGGATAACCAGAGAATTTGCAAGCCTATATGCATAGCCCATGGACACAGACCATAGAGTGGTGAAGGCCGGGGCAGCGCATGGGGGTGGGTTAGAAGGGGTCACTGGGGGGAAAGGGGACATCTGTAATAGTTTCATCAAAAAAGATAAATTGTTATAAAATGAAACGGTGTGCCGGGGAAAGCCTGGTGGGAGCCCAGCCTGTCTCCGCCAGTGCCACCACCAGGAGGGCATCTGAACACATGAGCCAGGCCGCCAGAGTTACAGTGAGCTGGAGGCTTCGCTCAGAAAGAATAAACCCACCTTGTTAGTTGTTTTGCCATCTTCTACTTTATAATGTTAACATGAAAACATTCAAACCTGTAAAGAATTTTTGTGAGTTTAATTGAGCCAAACTGTCGACATATCCCGGGAAGCAGAACCTCAACAGATTGAGATAGTGCTCCAGAGAATGGCGGGTTACATCTGTATTTATACATTGCAATCAAAGGAAAGGGACGTAGGTGGGTGACATGAAATACGTAACTGCCCACCATAAGCTTTTAGTTAAAGTTTAATTTCAGACCATCCTTTGGCGGTTACTTTAGGTCTCTGAGTTTGCAAGACTATATGCAGGTCTCCCCTGAGCTTGTCGGGTTAGCATGTGGCCCCTTTCGTCCACAATAATATAAAAGTAAAAGCATTCTTGCAAATGTGCTTTTGAAAATAAAAATAGCAGTATTCAAAAAAACCAAACACAAGTAAAAGGTTTCCAAATTTCATTATGGAACATCTTAACTTGTTCCTGGTTAAAAACACAGCTACACTAAACATATCCAACCTTAAATTACCCTATTTGTCAAAAAAAAGGTCTTAGTGGCAAGCAACTACCAAGGAGCTGGAGCTCCATGAGACTAGTAGCAAAATGGCAGACTAGCCAGTTTAACAGAAAACCAGGGGAAGAAGAGCCCTCGTGGGATCCCACTTGCCGCTGGGGGCCCAGGAGACGGCATGACAGGGCTGCCCCCATTGAGGGGCAGTCGGGGGACGCAGAGCAGACATGCGAGCATTCGCCAAGCCACACACAGAGCACAAAGCTCTTAGAACCTTGTCTAAGCTCTGCGTGGCTAGGCAGAAGCTCTGACCTGGCTGAGCGTGGACATGTTCAAACACCTAAAGGACATGTTCAAACACATAAAGGAAACCATGCTTAAAGAATGAAAGGAACGTTTATAACAATTTCTCATCAGAGTGAGAATACCAATAGAGGTAAACCTTTTAAAAGAGCCAAATGGGAAATCTGGCGTCTGAAAGTGCAGTAACCAGAATGAGAAACCACTAGAGAAGCTTGAGCTGGGTGGAGAGGAAGTCAGTGAACATGAAGACAGATCAATAAAGATCATGAAATCTGAAAAACAGGGAAAAAAGAAAACAATGATCACAGCCTCAGAGAAATGTGAACCACCATTAAGTGAACCAACATATGCAAAACGGGGATACCGGGAGAGGAGAGGGAAAAGGGACAGAAAAAATGTTTTAAGAATTAATGGCTGGCCCTGGCTGGTTTAGCTCAGTGGATGGAGCACTGGCCTGCGGAATGAAGGGTCCCAGGTTCCATTCTGGTCGGGGGCACATGCCTGGGTTGTGGGCTCCATCCCCCGTAGGGGTGTGCAGGAGGCAGCCTATCAATGATTCTCTCTCACCATTAATGTTTCTCTCCCTCTCCCTTCCTCTCTGAAATCAACGAAAAAAAATATATTTTTTAAAAAGAATTAATAGCCCTAACCGGTTTGGCTCAGTGGATAGAGCATCAGCCTGTGGACTGAAGGGACCCAGGTTTGATTCCGGTCAAGGGCATGTACCTTGGTTGCAGGCACATTCCCAGTGGGGGGTGTGCAGGAGGCAGCTGATCGATGTTTCTCTCATTGATGTTTCCAACTCTCTATCCATCTCCCTTCCTCTGTAAAAAATCAATAAAATATATTTACAAAATAAAAGAATCGCTGAAAACTTCCAAAATTTGATGAAAAACATTAATCTAAAAATTATCCAAGACGCCTGACAAACTCACAGTAGGAAAAATGCAGAGAGATCCGTACCCAGACATATCATAGTTAAGATGTTGAAAGCCAAAGACAAAGGGAAGAATCCTGAACGTCGTGAACTGTGATTAGAGCCGCCACACCCACTCGGGGGCCTGCAGAGCCCACATGGGCCTCCACCCCTGCTGGGAATCACGACACGGACAATACTTCCGACGGCTCTACAACGCGGTTCTATGATAAACTGCCTTATGAGCACGACTTTTTATTAAACAGAAATAAAACATACATAAAAGTGCATAAAATAAATGTTAGCAGGCAAAACTCAACGATGAAGACGGAAGTCAGAACACTGGTTCATTCCGCTGGGGAAAGGGGAGAGAACTTCTGGAATGCGAGAAGGTTCTGTGTTCTGGTTGGCAAACCGGCTCGGCTAAGTCCTGCACGCTGCCCTGCGTTCTTAAAAAGGTGTATGGGAATATAGCCTGCCCACTCAGCCACACGCGCCTGCCCATAGGCCTAAAATGTATACTGTTGGCTCTTACGGGAAGTTTGCTCTCTATGTTGATCTGGGGAGTGGCACACACACACACACACACACACACGTGAATTCACTGAGCTGTAGATTTTAAACTTTACAATGTTATGACATCTCAGAAAAGTGTATGTTATACTTTTTATCGTTTCCTATACTGACAGTTAATATAAAGCACATTTGCTTGATCTGTATCTGATTGTTCTAATACCTGAGAGCTCTGGGGTCAGTCTCTCACCTGCTGGC